GCGAAAGTGCTGCGCCTGCTACGAAATCTGTACCGTACCTTGCGAAAGTGCTGCGCCTGCCGCGAATTCTGTACCTGACCTTGCGAAAGTGCTGCGCCTGCCACAAAGCCTGTACCTGACCTTGCGAAAGTGCTGCGCGTGCCACGAAATGAGGATGTGTTTTGTGATCCCTGACAAGTTTTTTTGGATCCTCTGAATTTTCATTTTAATAAGAAATCTAAGAGAAGAGGTTTGTTTTGACCCCTAATAAGTTGTTTTGATCTTCAGGAGTAAGTTTTTGGATGCCTAAAAAGTTGTTTGATCCCTCACCCCGACCGGCACTTTGAGAGGTTTCGCTGCAGCAGCTTTGCTTTTTTCAAGGTCCTGTTGGAGTCCTGTTCAATTTCTTATCAGCTGGGTCTTGAGGCGCGGATGGCTGCAGTACGTGTCCCGTCTTCCACACGAAGTGCAAGGAGTGCGAACTGGGCTTTGCGAGAATCTCAGATGAGGGGTTGGTTTGCAGCACGCCTTTGTTATTCTTGGAATTGCCACCACCTTGGCTTTGTTGGTTCTTGATTGACGAGCTCCGTCATACCCAGGTTCTAGAGAGGGAACAATGTCAGCGCTGCGTTCCTCACTGCCGAAACTGCACGACCGCAGCCTAGCCACGGCGCTACTTCTTTCAGAATGGTGCCTGATGAAAAAAGGGCTGCTCATCTCCAAGCTGCGCCGAGGGTTAGTGGGCTGGACAGCTGCGATGAGTGCTTCCCTGGCTTCGGGTTGAACATGCTCACCATGAAGCCTCGCCCTGAGCCAGGATCAGTCGAATGTTGGGACAAACGCTCCTGAGGTGCAACCCCTGTGAGGCCTGTCGAGCTTTCCTTCCCACGTTTCGCTTTGGGGCCCGAACCAGGTGGAGCACTGCCTTCAGTGCAACGGGGATCAGCGGCGCTGCTCTGTGTGCCGGAAGCCCAGGTGTTTTTGGAGGGCCAGGCCGACCGCGAGCTTGGAGCAGTGGAGCCAGCTCAGGTGAGAGCGGCTTTGGAGTCACGCCGGAAGGCGCGATGAGTGAAGAATTGCGATTCCCATACCATGGAATGGCCAGGACCGCTAGGAATTGGGCGATTGAACCACCCTCCAAGATTGTCAGATCTAAATCCACATGCCAATGATATCCACCAAGGGATTCCCGAGCAAAACAAGTCAAAGCAACATGCGGGTTGATCTGTACCAACCTGTTTGGGGTCTACTCTTTTCCGAACATGATACGGGGAGGTGCTGGAAGATGACAGGGCTTCAGTCACGATTTCCGAGCTGCAGCTGTGCAAGCACTGCAAAGTTGCGATTTTCGATCTGGAGCTGCGGAAGTGTACTTTGTGCTAGACTTGCAGTACAAAGTAGTACCCTTGACAACGTCAAGAGTAAGAGAAAACAATAACGCTTTTGGGGGGCAGCTAAATTGACTAACACGGATTTTCACAGTCGCATGTGACAGTATCCTACGAGTAGAAAAAGGTCCTATGCCATTGTATTGTATTGTATGGTATGGAAGCCTACAGCTAACAGTAGATATTTGCTCCGAGTTTGCGCCAGGTCTTTGCCAAGACTGTGGGGAGTTCTGCAAGGAGTGCGACGCCATCCATGACTGCAAGGTCTGCCAGGAAGGCTTCGTGTCGCTGGATGGGCTGTGCCCTGGCCAAGAGAGTCTATAGCTAGTGGTTCTTCCCATGACCCTTAAAGGGGGACGCCCTCTCGAATGGTTGATAACACCAAAACATGCCGCAATTTTTATCGCGGCAAGCGACCCCAAACGGTGGTCAAAAACGGTTGGAGACATTGTGAGACAGGATTCCACGCAAGTAACATGAAGGTAGCCGCTACAGAAATTCCTGAAATGACCACACATGATCCGCGCAAGATTTTCCTGAGAGAAACTCTACTCATTGTTTCTATAGAAAGTCCTGGGCAAGATTTCTGTGGAAGATCAGGATCTCTGAGAGAATCCTCTACAAATTCTTCCTTCAGGATCTGCGCGTGAAACCTTTGCAGGTCCTGCGCAAGACCTGTTGAGAAGATCCCTGTCAAGAGCCAGCGCAGGAGGTCTGCGTGGGGAGATCTTTGCGCAAGATCTCTTCATTGGATACCCTCTACGAGCCCTTCGGTTCAGATCTGTAGGGGGCATCCTGCGCAAGGCCTCTTGACAAAAAAAACATCTCAGGTCGTGCGCAAGGATCTCTGTGAAGGACCAGCGCAACATATTTTTGGGATGAACTTTCAAGATCTTCGCACAAGATCTTGAAAATATCTCCTGGCAAGATGTGCGCGCAGGATCCATGACAGTTTCACCCTCTATATATCAGTTCTCTGCCCAGCATCCTCTACAAGATCTCTTGCTTTTCCAAGCCCTACGCAAAACCTCGACCTGCGCAAGAGACGTGTGGGAGGCTAGGATCTCTTGATAAGATCTCCTGGCAAGATTCGTGCGCAGCATCAGAGGACCTTCTACGAGCAGAGGATGTACTCTGCATTCATTTGGGAAGTAAATCTTTGCAGGTCCTGTGCAAGACCTGTTGGGAGGACTTCTATTCAGGACCAGTGTGAGGATTTCTGGACAGGATCTCTTAGCAGGATTTGTGCACAGTCATCCTTGTGAGGATCTGTGCAAGGCCTCTTGAGACGATCGTGCGCAAGAGAGCGGGGGCATTGGTATGTTTCTCCCACCGGTCCTGCAGCCCTTCTCAAAGCAAGGGGCGGCAAAGAAAACATTTCGACAGCTGCATACGTCAGGTCAGCGGACGTGTTTGGGGTGTGTCGATATCCTCCCAGACAACTGCGCTGTTCATAGCGTTCCGCTCTCTCTCTCTCTCTTTCTCTTTCTTTTTCCCTCTCTCCCCCTGTCTCTGTCTCTGTCTCTCTGTCTCTCTGTCTCTCTCTCTCTCTCTGTCTCTCTGTCTCTGTCTCTGTTTTGTCTTTGTCTCTGTCTGAGTCTCTGTCTCTGTCTCTGCTTTTTTTCTCTCAGCTGAGCGGGCAAAGTCAAGTCTGCCAAGCTGACTGCAACTAAAGGGCCCCTTGTTTGCCGCCCTCCTCCTTGTCAGAGTGGGGGCACTGACCGCATCGGGGCAAGTGAGGCGCAAACCCCATCACAAGATCTCTGGGTAGGGTCTCTTGGCAATAGTTGTGCGCAGGATCCACGAGAGGACCCTTTGTATACATTCTTTGTTCAAGACCTGCACGGAGCATCCTGTACAAGAATCACTTGGAAGGAAATCTTTGCAAACCTCAAAGTTCGCACCGCGCCATAATGAGAGCAGCCCGACCCGCCCGAAGTGCGCGGCTGCGTTGACTGTTCGCATACAGAGGTGTACCAGCAAACCGTTGCGTCGAGCCTGCGCAGGTCGGCACCAAGTCTAGCACCATGCCTTACTATGACCATTAGAACCCCCTAGCGTATTCACACTGTCTGGACCCACGTGTCAACCTAGGGACTACTTTTCCGTTTGCTTATCCAGGGCAGTACGGGCACCGTTTGTCTGTGGCCAGCGCCCAAGAACTATATCACTCAGGTTTGGTCAAACTTGTCAGTCTGTGGTTCATTTTCCGAGACCTGTTTTGAGTGCTTGTCTCAGGTGTCTCGGATGCGCCGATCGCTGCGGCAACTGTGACAAAGCCGGGCCTGCGAAGTGCGACCGCTGCCGGGATCTCGGGGAACATCTCCTGGCTTGGCCTTTGAGTTGGATGTTCTTATCATGCCCAGAGGGAGATGCTTTGCACAAATGTTACACTATGTGTACATATATATATATATTTATTTATTTCTCAGGGAGGTGCTCTTCCCGTACCGACTCTGACTTATTCTTCCACCTGAATTGCGGGTTATTTGAACACCTCCTCATGGTGCCAAAGTCAAGTGGGTTGATCTTGGGCAGGGTGATGTTGCGAGCCACCTGCAACGACAGAAGGAAAGGGAGTCCTTGGGTTAATTTGAGCATCGGATTAGTGTTGGTAATGTCAGGTGGGTTTATCTTGGGCAGGGTGATGTTGCAAGCCACCTGCAATGACAGAAGGAAAGGGAGTCTTTGGGATAATTTGAGCATCGGATTAGTGTTGGCAATGTCAGGTGGGTTCATCTTGGGCAGGGTGATGTTGCGAGCCACCTGCAACGACAGAAGGAAAGGGAGTCCTTGGGTTAATTTGAGCATCGGATTAGTGTTGGTAATGTCAGGTGGGTTTATCTTGGGCAGGGTGATGTTGCAAGCCACCTGCAATGACAGAAGGAAAGGGAGTCTTTGGGTGAATTTGAGCATCGGCTTGGCGTTGGCAATGTCAGATTGGTTTATCTTGGGCAGGGTGATGTTACAAGCCACTTGCAACGACAGAAGGAAAGGGAGTCCTTGGGTTAAGTTGAGCGTCGGATTAGTGTTGGCAATGTCAGGTGGGTTCATCTTGGGCAGGGTGATGTTGCAAACCACCTGCAACGATATAAGAGGAAAAGGAACCCTTTGTTTTAACTTGATGTGAGGTGGGTTCATCCTGGGCAGGGTGATGTTGCAAGTCATCTGCAACGGCAGAAGGGGAAAGGGAGTCCTGGGTTTACATTTGAGCACCGCCTTATGGTTGCCAACGTCAGATGGGTTGATCTTGGGCAGGGTGACGTCATAATAACCCGGGGTCCTTGGTTTGATTCAAATCCGCGCCCTACCGGGCGGCGGCCTAGGCTTCCAAGGCTTCCATGTGACCCAGGAGGGCATCTGCGAGCTCGGGGCCACACAAGTGGCCCACGTGGCGCACGCGCACGTGTGAGTGTGCGGCGTTTCACCTTACAAGGCCGACCGGCTTTGTGCGCCAATGCAATGGAGTAAAAAGACAGGGCATATGCAGGGCGCAGATACAAATTGCCATCGCGGCTTTTGTCAACTTAGGACGCCTTTCAACGATTCCACGGCAGACCCTAAAACAGAATTAGGGCTCTTCAGTCTTAGTTGGGGCTTGTTGACCACTACTTTACCTTTCATTTACAGTACCCATATTCAAGTATTTAATTTTCCCTTTGGGTTCACCTCGATGCGTATGGTAGGTTTCCTGATCTGATCCTTGGGAGGCTTTGGCTCCTGACCGAGTTCTGCGAGACGGGGTCAAGCGCTGCAAGGCGTGCGCTGTGCAAAGCCTGGCTGTCTATGATGCGGGGCCGGGTTCAAGATGAGGCTCTCAGGCTCAGCTTGCACGCTTGCGCGCCAGCCTGCACAAAAGGACGCAGAGAAAGGGCCGAGTCAGAGTGAGCCGCCGCGTAGCTGTGTAGCAAAGCTCGCGAGGTTTGGTTGCAGAACATGCCTTAATCAAACAAATGCTTTGTTTGACCTCTCCTGAAGCTGGCCCATCGGGACCTGGGAAAGACATGCTGAAATGCAGACACATGAGCATGCAACAAGCGATGCGCATCCCCCGCACGAGGGAAGATTTCGATTCCCACGAGCTTTGCTTCTGTACTTTGCAACCTGTTGAACTCGATGCACAAACGCACTGAAGTTGTTCGCGCACTGATGTAGACGGCGGTTTATGCCATGGCCAGGCAGCAACAGGGCGATGACACCCCACTGCTGGCTTCCCCAGCGCCCCATGTGGGAACAACTCCTGAGGCGCCCCCAAGAGAGAGGGGCATTGCAAATGCATCCCTTTCTTGGAGGAATCTGCTGGTCAACAGCCCCCCGGCCTGGGCTATGTCACCTGAAAAAACCACCGAGACCCGCATACCCCCTTTTCCCTGGCCAGCGCAGAATCTGCCGGTCCCGCGCAGCCCACCACGCCTGGGGCGGGACGCTGCTCGGATGTCGAAGTTCTCCGAGGAAGAGGACGAAGAAATCGAGCGCTTCTTGAACCATTGCTCCTTCTCGTCCACAGCGTCCAGGAGAGAGCACCTGCCAAGAACCCCTTCGCCAAAGAAGGGGCTGGATGACACGGTCTCGAGCGTCATGTGGACGCCTCCCCCAAAGCTGGGAGAAGATGCCATGACCGCCTCAACGACCTTGGCAGGCATGTTGGGGTCTGGCACTCGGTCCGCATCGCGGGCGAGGAGCTGCGAGACCGAGACCCCAGATCTCACCTCGCCCTTTACGCCGGCCAAGCCCAGAGGAGTCATGGAGGATGCAGAGGCTCGGGATCCTGGAGGGGGTTGTATGACTCAGGATGAGAGAGAGAGAGAGAGAGGTGATAGACCAGTGCCAATCAGGTTGAGCTTAATGGTGGCTGCTGATGAATTGGATGTGTACTTGTGACAAAACAAGGGGTTGACACCAGAGTGACAGAAAGAGCCGGTCAGCAAAGTCAAAGATGTGGACCGGCCAGTCAGAGCAAACAAGTCAGTTCCGCGTGTCTGAAGCCATGCCGGATCAAGCTTAAAGCATGATCTTTGAGAGTGATGGGCTTGCGCTTTGCAAGATCAAGGGCTCGGTGGTGCCGCAAGCGCTTTTGCTCACACTGCCCTCTTTGCTGCTGACAGTGGCGCTCTATGTGGTGAACCAGGAGGTGGAGGGTGGACTGCAGTCTATTCGAATCGGCGATGTCAGCATGACTCAGGCGGGCCGGCCAGTTTTCGTTCTGCCTAGGTGGGCCCTTCAGAATTGAAGCACATGAAGCCAACTAGATGCCGCGGGCCTCGAAACTTGGAACGCGCAGCCGCAGGGCCCACACAAAACGCTTGCAGGTTGGGTTGGGCAGAGGAGCCTTTTGCCCCATGCGCGTGAGGCATGGTCTGCCATGACGCTGCTGTTGGGCATGCTGACGGGCTTCCGCACGCAGCAGTCGTTGGACCGCTACTGGGAAGGCAGGGCCAGCAAGATTCCGCGGAGCTCGGGTCCTTTAATGGAGAAAGTAATTGGCTGGGCCAAAGGCCTGACTCACTGCCATAAGCAATCCAGCGGACCAATTTCGCGCATGAAAACCATGCAGCTTAGCAAGGCAAAATTGGGGGAAATTTGGGGGGCACGTGACTTGAGCCTCATCCTCACCTTCGGCAACGAAGATATCAAAGAGAATAACTCCGGGCAAGTAACCAGTAGCTAGTTCGCAATATCCAATGTCAGTTGTGGGCACGATAAATATGGTGGGCTGACATGCCAAAGCCGCGTTTTCGCATAGGCGACGTCACCTGAACCACTCTGTTTTCAGCGACCTTTGCAGAGCAGCGCTTTCGTCGGAACACACAGGGTCACCATGTCATTGGCTACTGCCCCGCACCCCTTCCATGCAACGGCTTGCGTAGCCCTGCTGGGGCTGTGGATGCAATTGGTTGATCAACCCTCCACTGCCAACCGTCAACCGTGCGCTTCCCCAAGACTCTTTGCATTGGCCAAACACAGTGTGCATAAAGCAAGGCTTCTTGGCGCATGGGCAGTTGTTGCTTCAACCGTTCCCAATCCTTAGACTGCCTCTAGGCAAAACCCTCCAATAGAGGGTTTTGCCTAGCGGCAGTCACTTTTCCTTTAAAAGGCGTTTGAGTCGGGCTTTGGCAGCGGCCTTGTTTGTGGGATTTGCGGGGGCTTCCTCACTTACCTTGGAAGGGAGCCAGCATTTCCCATTTCCATTGCCAGGGCTCCCTTTCTTCCCCTTTGGCTTGATTTGGGCATTGGCTTGCCAAGTTTCAAGGAGTTTGGGATGGCAATTTTGGGGCTTGGTTTCGAGGCACCAGCCTTCTACACCGGATGCGCGGGGAGTGGTTCGATGCCATCAGCTGTCTGATGACCTTCTCGCGGGCATCGCGGCCCACAATGTCGGACGAGGTCTGGCAATTCCGGCACACCTTGGTGCGACTGGCCGCGTGGCTTAAAAAGCAGAAGCGAATACAAGCGCCAGCAAAACGCAACGATATTTTTTTGCATGTGTCGTTGTGTCTGTCAAATGTGCAACTGAGGTTAGTTTTATGCATGGGTCGGCCTTGGATGAAATCTCGGGCCTTGATGCCGGGCACGTGCCATTTCAAACCATTGACACTGACGGCCTGGATGACAATATTTTGCACTTCTCAGAGGTGGCAGTGGGAGAAAATGGGTGGAACAGGGTGTGCTTGCTCCACCACTCGATTCAGGTTTTGGTGACTCACAACATGCATGCTGGGGTTTTGGACATCTCGCCGCCTATCCTGTCCCGAGTGTACCAGACCATGTCTCGAGGGCTGGTGGACTTGATGAATGCCATCAAGATCCGCGACACCAGCTTTCCGTTTCCATGGGCCCAGATCATCACGTTGTCCCTGGTTGTCTATGCCATTTGCACCCCTGTGATGATGATCGTTTCCGTCACCTCCCTGGTCTGGGCCATCCCGGCCGTTTGTTTCCCGACCTTCGGCATGATGGCGCTGAACCTCATCTCGGCACAGCTGGAGATGCCCTTCGGGGTGGACGACAATGACTCCTGGCCTGCTGTTCATCGGTGTTAAAGCAAACAAAACAGAATACCTGGAAAGAGACAAACCGACCAAGGCAACTGGATTTGGACTCAAAAAGATGGCTTTGGGCATAGCCGTCCCAACAGTAGCCTGAGGACCTGCCGTTGGGCCACTTCCAGCGGGAGATGAATCGCAGCCTTCTGCTGCTGCTGCACGAGGGGGCCGACCTGCTGCCATCCACCAGGGCCAGAGCCCCGACCGACGTGATGAACATCCTGACCGGGGGGGGGGAGGGGGCTGTGTGCGTGTGTGTGTGGGGCGTGGAGTTGAGGCGGTTGCAAGAAACCAGCACTTTGAGATTCTTTGGGGCTGGCCATCTCTCAAAAATTGGCCTCCAATAATAGCGTCATAGTTCGATGGTGCTAGGCAAGTTCATAACCGGCCTGCGAGGATGAGCATGGCCCACTGCAGATGGAGCCATTTTTCACGTTGCACCAGCCGATCACTGGATGAGATGGATATGGATCGAAGCCTGAGTGCAGAGTCAAAACTGACTGAACCGAAGCTGACCCAGCCACCCCATTCTATTGATCGGGCGGCCGCGCAGATGGTCCGGCTCAGCTCGGACTCAGCTCCTTCACCTTCTGCCGCTCCTTCCAAGAGCACTTCCGACGGTTTGGCCCAGGACTTGGCCTTGATCATGGGCAGCTCCCGCCAGATCTTGAGCCTCACAGAGTCTTTGGGCACTTCCTGGCGCGAGCATGAGGAGACACTGCTCCGACTCATGGCCACTTTGCCTCAGCTGGAATCAGCCTTGCTAAAAACCAAGCAGCCCTTGCAGCAGATCTGAGCTTGGAAGCGCTGGCTTTAGGCATCAGCGCCTCCCGGGGAGGAACTGCCGAGTCGGCCTCGTGGTGATCACCTGTTTTTTTTGTGCGTCCCTGTGAGCGCATGTGGTGAGCCTGGGGCCACCCGTGCATGCCTCCGGCTGCCTACCAAGTTACTAGGTTCTTGGTTTGTCGAGCATGCCGTAGTTTCAATTTCGACAGGCCAGTTGGTCCCGAATGGGACTTGTACTCGCATACGTAGGGATACGTAGGAAAAAAGACACAGGTGGCTTTCAGCGAGGCTTCTTCGGTTGCACGCCTTTGCTGGGGCTGCTGAAGGCGTGCGAAGACAATCACATATGACGATGGGGGGTCCTTCGGGTTGTGGGTCTTGATTGGTGGTGCTTTTTTGGGCGCACATGTATCTAGCTTTATTTTTGAAGTTACCCTTAGTTGGTGGTTTGAACCGCAGCTCCTTTTGAGACCAAATGAGGAACCCCTTAACGTCCAAACCACCAAACCAAGCCGCCAGCACAGCACATATGATGATGTGCCTGAGGCCTTGCTGCGGCAGGGGCCCCGGTTGAGGACCTGGCCTTTAGTGAGCTGGTTTGGGAATGCAACCCCCAAAAACGGGTGCACATTTTGCCCCTACATGACACACCCACGTGGGTGTCTCTTTTGTCGGCCCCAACCCGAACACGGAACAGTGGGCAGCCCATGGTCACGATATCCATGGGTAGCAGCCTCAAACATGGCCGGTGGACATAAATCGGTGAATGATGCGTTCCTCTAGCGGTAACCCTATGCTTCCTGTTTTTACACATACCCATATGAGCCACGTCTCGAAGCTCTCCGAGTATTCCCTGTTGTGTGTGGGAAATGTTGCGAGTCACCCCATGTCACTCTCAAAAGGATTATGGACTCGTTCGGTGACACGTATGCCTTTATTATGTACCTCTGAAACACACCAAAGTGGGTTGTTTCGTTTTAGTTTCCCGTTAAAACCCTATTTCGAGACACCTCCATACAGAGACCAATTGAGGCCATGCAGCTGCTGCGGCCGGCGGTTCCGGGAAAACCGGCTACCTGTGCATGAGGCCCTTCTTTCGGGTAGCGCCGCCCCTTTTTCATAGTGAAAGAGCATGGTTCAGATGCGTTTGCAGCCGTTGTTTGGGGTACTCCCTTGAATCCTTGGTTAAAAGCAAGGTCTAGTCGTGCTGGTCACCATCCCTTTCCGTGCTTTTGAACCACCGGCCATTGTCTTGGAGAGATGCCTGGATGTAGGCCAAGTGGGCCATGAATGCACGCGGTCACGCCAGTTCCAAATCGCCCCGGCAAGCTCCCAGGGTCTTTTGGTTTTTAAGCGTCACCCCCTTTTGAGCCAGAAAGTGGGTTTCCGCGGGTGATGCAAGGGGCAATGGGAGCTTCGCAGGAGATTTGCTTCCGCAATGCGGCGAAGCAGCCAAGGGCTTGGGTACGGTTCCGGAGGCGCACCAACCCCTCCGCCAACTCCTAGGTAGTGAATTCGCACGGGTACCTCAGGGGTCTATCCCCGGCACCTTTTGTGAGAATGGGAGACAAAAGGGCAAGGATCTGTCGGGAAGGCGCAGATTTGTTGAGCGTGCAATTCAACAAGCCTCAGCGCTGAGGCGGACGGTCTTCGAATCAAGTCGTCAGAGATGCGAAGCAGCTGGGCGCCTGGAACTGCCAGCTGTTGCATGATGGCATTGGCAGCGAACATGTTTCTTTCTCTCTTTTTTTGTTAAAGTGAAACGTGTTCAGGTGAGTGCAAAGGGAAAACCAAGAGCAACATACCATATCGGGGTCACTCCAATTTATTTCGGGGTCCCACCCACCAGACGTTTGTCCTGCTGCCTCCAGAGGTGTCCGGACGTCGCACTCTTAGACCTTCAGACTCCCGAGAACGAGGCAGACCCATCCGCTTTCAGGATGGTGGAGCGCTGCAGACGAAGCACGTCGGTCCCACACGTCGCAAGCTCAGAGTAGACAAAAACTGGCCCGGACGACACTGCGGGGTGGATGAAACATCACATTGCAGGCCAATGTAGCGGGAGTCCCCCCTTTTGGGTGCAGTGCTTATGCTGGGAAGGGGAACCCTGCGCAATGCAACGCTCTGGCTTCCCCCATTCTTCGCCATCCTTTCTTTCAGCAAGTTTGCCAAACCCTGGGAATGCAAATGGTTTCCAAAAAGAACGATGGATGAACACATGGGAGGACACACACGAACCATGGAGGGCCACAGCTTGGCCCCAAGGATGCCTGCACAAAGATCGCCAGCAGGGCACTTAGAGTGTGGCATGGCCAGCCGACGCAAATTCTGATCTCTCTTTTTCGTTCACTCTCCCTCTCTCTCTGTCGGAATTTCGAATAGGCATAATCTGTCGGGCTTTATTTTTTTAAAAGTTGAGATTCTCTTTGGTGGAGTGGCGTTTGGGTACTCTTTTTACTTTGGGCTAAAGGGAAACCAACGGAAACCCCAAATGTGGATCTGCCATCCGCTGGATCGGAAATGATGAGGGCCGCTTGTGAATGTGGCCTGTGCGGGTGTTGAATTCAAACTTGGGCTCAAACGCATTGTCTCCCACCTCGAGGCTCCATATCTTGCTGTAAACTTCGAACACACTTAGATATCGCAAGTAAGGCCGGTGAACAAACATGAGCAGCACCCCAACAAACTGACTTGTGTGTCTACAAAAGCGGTCATGAATGCTGCTGAAGCCCCCCCAACATAAACAGGGCTTTCTGCGCCCTCAAACGCGCACACCCACACACACACACACCTAACTGATTGTCACCATGTCGGACTGCCACGGTGACCAGCTGGAGGAGGTTGAGGCGCTCCAGCAAATTTACGGGGAGGATGTGGAGGTGCTTTGCGATGACCCAGGTGAGTGTGCCGCTTGAGAGGGTTCCCTTTTCGAGCTCAAAGAAGCCAGACCTACCTACTTTGTTATTTTGTTTTGGGAAACGGCAGGTCTGGTGGAGCTGGTCCTTCACATCACTCCGGACCTGGAGAAGGTCACCCTCCGCGCAGAGGTGGAGCGACCGGACAGCCTTGAAAGCGCCGCTCCGGGCGGCTCAGAAAGCTTCGGGGGTGCACCCGGTGCGCCCGGAGCGCCTGGGGGCTACTCTGCCATGGAGCTGGCCCAGGCGAAGATCGCCGCTCCGTCGCAGAAGCCAGCCCTGGCGCGGTCGGAGAGCGGAAAGCACGTGTCGCACGCAGAGGGGGAGGTGCAACATTTGAAGCCCCTAAGGCTGCAGCTGAAGTTGCCCCCCGCCTACCCCACTTGTAT